GGTACGGCGGGGCCGGCATGAGGTACAGCGGGGCCGGCATGAGGTACAGCGCCCAGCCGCAGGTGAGGTACAGCAGGGCCGGCATGAGGTACAGCGCCCAGCCGCAGGTGAGGCACGGCGGGGCCGGGGGCTCCAGGAGCCTCCAGCCTTTCCCGAGCTGCCGCGGCTCCGCTCGCCCCGGCCCATTGGAGCGTCACCGCTCAGCGCTGACCGGGGCGGCTCCGCATCCCTCGGGAAGGGGGGGATTCCAGTTCGCAGGAGAAGCTGCCTGGGGGACGGTGCCGAGCTCAGCGGAGAAGGAAAAGGAAAACCAGCTTTGGGAAAGTGGAAATCCCCACCCATCTGTGGTGGTGTTGGATCTCCTCGGTGTCGGCACTGCTGTCGCTCCCAAGGTTTTGATTTCGGCTTAAACTGAGCCCTGGGGTTGGGACTAAAAGGAAACTCGGCGCAGGCGAAATGTTTGCGGAGCGTGGGGGCCGGGTTGTTTAGCAACAGATCCAACTGAACCTGTACAAGCTTTGGAAGGGCTGATTTTAACGGAGGGCTGTGGGGCTTTGCTAATTAACCTCTGCTTTATCAATGTGTTTGGAGTTTAAACACCTTTTTAGCCACCAACGCGCTTGCAAGAAACGTGGGTAGAGCCCTTCCCAAATCTTCGTTCGCGAAGCCCGGCCATGATGGAGTTTAAAACACAGTCTTGGCTTTTTTATGTAGGTCTTCCTGGCTGAGGGCTGGGCAGGGACTGATGCGTTTGGGTTGCGCCTCCAGAGCCTGTTCTGTGCCACAGAGCTGTTTCAAACCAGGTTTTAGATTAAAGCAGGACAGCAGCGCTTCCCAGCTCACCTGCAGGCTTTGGGTGTCTCCAAGGCCTGGTTTAGTAGTTGTTATCTGGCAGCAACAAAGGAGCTGCCATTCTAGCACTGATCAGAAAATTGGCCTACAGCAAGAGACGTTTCCCTTGCCTCCAGCTCTGCTGTCCAATGTGTGCCCGGGCCGTGGGCACTGCCAGGAGTGGGAAGGAGATGCTCTCGCTGATACGGTTCAGCTCCTTGTTCCCAGCTGGGTCGGGGTGACACTGTTGTGTGACATGATCTTCCCTGCCTGCCTTGTTCTCCTGGCAGGGGGTAGGTTTGTGCTCTGGTGTGTCTTTGTGCAGGGCTGAGGGCTTGAACGAGTCCTTCCCTGGTTCTGGATCACTTCTCCCCCTGCATCAGTGCAAGAGGGACTGATCTGATCCAGGAGGACTTCCCTGAAGATGGTATCTGCCCTCCTGGCAGGAAACAGCCTGAGGAATTTGTCCCTTGTGGACTGGCTGTTGTCGGACTTGGCCCCCTATAAACATGACAGTGGAGGAAATGTGAGTGTTTTTGCCATGTCTGTCTCCTCCTGCATCGGGGAAGGAGCTGTGACAGTTCTTGGGCTGAGGAGAAGCTGCTTGTCTTCCTTGGGAAGGTGCAGAGTGTCTCTCTGGGGTAGTGGCTGGTGGGTGAGCTGCTGCTCAGGCCAGTTTGGCTGCTGTTGGTGCCAAAGGCAAACAGGGATAAGGAAGACACGATGAGAAAAGGGCTGAGGCCGATTGAGAGTTCACCAGACCTTTGCTCAGCAAACAGAAGTTCACTTTGTAAAACCCTTGAGGGAGCAGTGAGAGCGTTTTGAGGGCCTGGCTGTGGGGAAGGTATTGGAGCAAAGGTTCTCCCCTTGTCCAGGGTAGAATGTTGCCTTTTCCATCCAAAGGCCACGGAATAGACAGGCAAATAACACCCTGTGATATCTGGGCCATGGGCTGGGGTGGAGAGGGAGCAGCCTACAGGGATGGGTTTGCCAGGCAGAGGCTTTGCCCTGTCAGAGGTGCTGGTATTTTCCTTGCTCTTGGATCCAAACATTGAAAACTCGAGGGCCAGATCCACCTCAGAACTGTAGGGGCTGGTGAAGAGCGTGAGTGAAATGTCAAGAGGAGTGTTTGATCCACGTCTGCTTTAGTTCAGCTGCTGGAGGCAGTTTTGTTTTCCAGACAGTGCTGTCTGTACCAGGAAAGACATATGAGTGATTTAAATAAGCTGTTTGCACCTGTGGCATGTTTCTTTCTGCTCTTGAGACATCAGTATGTTGTAAGGAGGAATTTCATGGCTCATAGCTACATGGATCAGGGCTGTAATGTAGCTTTATTCCTCACTTCTTCCCAAGAATTGCTAAGACTTAAGAGTAAAGTTCTTTGCTACCACAGACACACAAAAGTGTGGTGGCTTTTTCTGAGCTGCTGAGATGCAGGACACAGCTGCACTGGTAAGCCTAGAGCGGGGCTCAAGCCAAGCCTATGCTGTCTCTGCAAACATTAACTTGAGTTTCTTCTGTAATAAACCCAAAGGAATTTGGTTTCTCGTATGACTCAGGGTGATCACAAGACAATCGCATGCTGTAGAGGGTTTAGCTCAAAATCGGTGTATGAAGGTGTGTGTGACATATCTTTCACTGTTGCACCTGCCCTCTCTGCTGGGATGTACACAGTCTGGAGGACTCTGGCCTTGAGTTCTTGCCCCATATTCCCTGTTTATTCATCATTTTATAGCTCCATTGCCCTTAATGCAGAACTGGAGACGAAAAATAAAACATTGGCAAAGTTTCTTCAGTGCATTACTGCCTGTGGTGGGGCAGCACTGCACGAATACGCCTTGGGGAAGCTTCACTCTCATATGCTACTTTCACATTATTTCTTTATCAAGAGTAAGAAGAGGAGTGAAGAGATGATTCTTATCAGATCTTTTTTGCAGC